GTACTTAGAGCTAGGCTTGATCAGATTCAGATTCAAGTTCACTTTTTTGGCAAAGACACTTCATAGACAGTGTTGTGAACTTAATCATTAAGAGAAACCTAATGTCTGCTTGTCTCTCTGTGATGTTAGCAGCCACAGATGATCTTTGCTTAGGTCCAGGAACTCGTTACAAAATGGTGATGTTCTATTTATCACTCCTTCTTCATTTATTAACTAAAATACTCCTGAGAAAATAAACTTGCCCTCCTCAACTATTTAGCTACCTTCAAGTACAGCTGGTTCCTTAGCATACTCCAAAGAAAACAAATGAGGTTTTTGTAAGTATCAGTATGAACTCATGGATTTAAACATATTTGATATGAATGATTATAATGCAGCTGTGCTTACTGACGCTCAAATTGTCTTATCTGCATCTCCAGGCAGAACCCATTCAATTAAGGACCTCAGTTGTTTTGCCACAATCCTATCAGTATTTGATAACTTCCTTGCAAGATGTTCAAGTCCCCAGTGTGGAATCAGCGTTAGCCTGCAGCCACTTTCCATATTCAGCTAGTTTCTTTCTTATTCTTCATTTCTACTAAATTAAAAATTCCTAATTCTTAATTATAAATCAGCTGTGTTATACATTCTGGATATTAAGATTGAACACGGACCCAGAAAATTATAGCAAGATTTCTCACTGAAGTCTACTTTCAGCATTCCATTGAATGCTGAAAAAAGGCATACCCCACTCAAAACTGGAAGTTAAATGCTTCAATTTGAGCGATTAGAGCAAAAAGATTCCTAATCTATTCTCTACTTACTTTTTGGCTCTAGAAAGTATTTCTTCATGTTCTATTTCAAAATTTGGATGTAGTTTTTAAATATGCACAATAAAAATTCACTTTTTTTCTTTCATAAATGAATAAAATCATCAAGTGTGGGGAAACAGTCAAACTGTTAAGAGACTGAATTACTTTGTACCATAATTCAGACATAAAATCCTCATATATTTAAAACTCGTGATATAGTGAATACGAAGCTATAAATTCTACTTGAAATACTAAATATATTTGATAAGTTATGCCCCCTTGAAATAACAGAAATGGCAATATCAGCAGTAAAGAAATGTTTATCTCATTTCACTAAAAAACTAAACATATAAAGCCCTGTCACCCTACTAGCATACATCACTGTGGAAAAGCAGAACCCCATATTTGCTGACCATTTCTTCACAAAACTCTAAAAAGACATGGCTTTAGTGGCCAAAATGCTTATCTCCACAATTTTTACTGCTTCCTTCAACACAAAATCATGATCAGAAATCACATTACTGAATGCCAATTCTTCTCTCTGAAAAAAGGGGGATATGAGTTGATATCCCGGTGCAATCTCTTTTACTTACAAACCAAGTGCACCCTTTCCTGCAGCTGACATTGTTGGGCTTTGATCAGAGGAACCTATGCCACCTTTCCAGGCAACAATGGCTTCTTAAAAAACCACTAACCACCACCACCAGCAACAACAACAAAACAAAATAACAAACAACTCTTCCGTGGTAGTGTGGATTTTTCAGTGATAAACACTAACACACTTATATGAAGTGCTGGTATGTCCTCTGCACCATCAGTGCTTTCATCCAACTGAAAAACAAAATATCTGCTAGCATGCACACATGACAGTAATTGCTTTTCCAGATGGTATGCCTTTGATAAGGGATTTTTGCCAAAAGCTCATTTTACTTTCTCTCCAAGCATAATATTTGTCATTAACTTTGAAACTGGTTTTACAAGCTTCTCAGTAGTAGCGTGAGTTAATCTGTTCTTTGCTATGAGAAGGATAACTGTGAGTGGTAACTACAGTAGCGTGGTCGTCTTTGTCTTTAGCAACAATATTCATTAATTTCACACTGAAAAGCATTATTTTATATAATTTGATACATTTATTTCATTTTTCATCACAAGTCTAAAATTAATTATTATAGAGAAGGAAAGTGAGACAGAAATATTAATTCAATTCCCTAGGGTAGCATGAAAGTAGAAGAGCCAAAACTTGTGCTCTTTCCGTCATATCACAGAGAAAACTATAGCAAGGGGATACCTATTCCTTTAATATACCTCACTGAAATTTGTTTTAAAATATTTTGAGTCCAAATGAAATATTTTTAAAAGGTTCCATTTTAACTTACTGTAAACTATAATCGAAGATACAACCTTACAAATGTTCTAGGGCCTTAACTCATGTACTGATTTTGTTTTGTGTCGATTCTCCACCTCCCCCCCGACAAAAAAAAGCAAAATCCCACAATCTCAAAATCTAAAGTCTTCTCAAAAAAATTACAAGAAAATTGAGGCCAGCCCAGTGGGGCAGTGGTTAAGTTCATGTGCTCCACTTTGGCAGCCCTGGGTTCATAGGTTTGGATCCCAGGCACAGACCTAGCACTGCTTATCAAGCCATGCTGTGGCAGGCGTCCCACATATAAAGTAGAGGAAGATGGGCATGGATGTCAGCCCAGGGCCCATTGTCCTCACCAAAAAGAGGAAGATTGGCAACAGATGTTAGTTCAGGGCTAATCTTCCTCACCAAAAAAAAAAAATTACAAGAAAATATTGTCAAAAAGTATTATATAAAACTTCTGAGCGTAAGTTTGTAAAATTTTCACTTTTCCTCATTTTCAAAAGGGAAAATGACCCATATTAATAGGGGATATCACTCTGTGAAAACTTGCAAAAGAATGGGGAGATAAAAGAAATTGACTAATCAGAAATCCCTAATTTAAAGATTTAAGCAACCTAATTTTGGCTATTTGGGACTTTACAAGTAGAATCATATATTGGGCCGGCTCCGTGGCTTAGCGGTTAAGTGCGCGCGCTCTGATGCTGGCGGCCCGGGTTCGGATCCCGGGAGCGCCCCGAGGCACCACTTCTCCGTCCAACGTGAGGCCGGGTCCCACGTACAGCAACTAGAAGGATGTGAACCTATGACATACAACTATCTACTGGGGCTTTGGGGGGAAAAAACTGAATAAATAAAATCTTTAAAAAAAAAAAAAAGAATCATATAGTTAACAACCACAACCAATTAGTTGGCAAATTCAATTGATCAGAACTTCCTACTCCCTAATCTTAACTTTAGTTGAGATCTGAATATAGAACTTTTATATTACCTAGAAACGGATTCTAAACTCTGATTTTCTGTGCTCATTTTTTGATTGCTTTTAAATGGTTTTCAAATAAATGTATTTAGCCTCCCTGGCCCCAAAGTAAACATTCTGAGTTTTATGCTTCATTCATAATGAAGTTACAGAATAATATATATTCTTCCACATATCAAAAATCATTCTTCGCAAAGCTTGGACATTCAATTAATATTGTTAAATGAAAGTAAGAAGGAGAGATATCTAAAAAAAAAAAAAGGAAAGAAAAAGGTTCTGATAATAAGACAATAATACATTTAATCATCATTACCAGTTAATTCAAAATGACACTAGAAAATTTCTGAAAAGGATAATATATCTGATAGTTGCAGATAAGTTTTTTGTGGTTTTTTTGTGAGGAGATCAGCCCTGTGCTAACATCTGCCAATCCTCCTCTTTTTTTGCTGAGGAAGACTGGCCAAGTTTTTTGTGTTTTTTTGTGAGGAGATCAGCCCTGTGCTAACGTCTGCCAATCCTCCTCTTTTTTTGCTGAGGAAGACTGGCCCTGGGCTAACAACCACGCCCGTCTTCCTCCACTTTATATGGGGATGCTGCCACAGCATGGCTTGACAGGCGTTGCGTCGGTGTCCACTCGGGATCCGAACCGGCGAACCCTGGGCCACCACAGCGAAGTGCACGCACTTAACCGCTTGCGCCACCGGGCCAGCCCCCAATGCAGATAAGTTTTTAAACTTCTCATCACAGCAACCTCATTCTTTTTATCTGCTATTTGATTCGAGGCAACTTTTCTTTGGCAAAAATTGCTCAATTACACCATTCCCTTCTAAGAGGTAATCTTAACTGAGGCAGTCTTAGGATTTTCCAATATCATGGATTCTTATTATTTTAGAATTTATTGCTTTACATATTCTTATTCCAAAACAGAACAAAATGAAATTAATAATCTTAGTAATAGGTGATACATTTTTCTCAGATTTTCACGTTCTCTGTATTCTAGCAAGATTAATTTACAAACCTCTATAATGTATACAGAGAACCAACCAACTTTGACCTATCTCCTAAAATAATTATCTTTCTACACTTTCTGCCTATTTGCAAAAATATAATTAAAAAATATTTTGTTCTTAAATAAACACCTAACTGTACCCTGTTTGGAATTTATACGTATTTTAGAAAAACAGAGAGCACTATGCTTGTTTTCTGTTGATACTGTGTTTCCTTTGATTGTTTTCAATTGTCTTATGTAGTCTTTAAAGTGGGGATCCACCCCATGATTTGGAAGTATCACTTGATTCTTTAATTACATATCTTGCTCTTCTGGCCCAAGAGAAACTAACCCATCAGATCCCAAAGGTCTACAGGGACAGTCTATGGGGAATAAAAGTGACACTTCTTGGTAAATAGAAAACCCTTAGCACTAAGTTTAGGAGAACAGGAGAAAAAGGTTTCCAACTCTATCTAAAAGACAATCACCAGGATCTTTTGTATTATGTGGGTGCACTCTGTTAGAGTTCTGAATTCAGTTGCTCATCTCAGAGGGTCATGACATAAATAAAATAATTATTAAATTGGCATTTATTCATTCCATTTCTTCTATCACAGATAGTTGACTGAGTCTTAATCTTCACTCACTATATTTCTTATAATTGACATGCTTTCCTAATTATTAGGATTACTTCCTTTTAGAATCTGGATCTTTTTTCAGTTTTTGTGGGGAATGGGTGGAAGAGGGGAGTGAACTCTTCTTTAAAAGCTAACCATTCTCACATAAAAACTTCTAAACTTATGAAATCTATATATAGAGACCAACATTAAAAAATGACTGCCAAGGAGTCAAATTAAAGAAAAATTGTGCCTCAAATACCTTAGAATAAGTAGAAATTCTAAATATCGGTGTCTTCATTTGGAAGCAAAGATTCCTACTGCATGATCTTGCCTGATGGTCCTTGATTTTATCATCAGAGTCAGTTCCAGTTACATTTCCATTAGTATGGATAGATCTAAAGTAGGAGAAAGAAGACATATTTAGTCCACTAAAAACACTACAAATTTTAGATACTGTGACACATCACTGTTTTTCTGTAAGCATACAAAGATTCTCACACAGATGCTTTGGTTGTTCAAGAAATGCAAATTCATGGGCCGGCCCCGTGGCTTAGCGGTTGGGTGCGCACGCTCCGCTACTGGCGGCCCCGTTCGGATCCCGGGCGCGCACCGACGCACCGCTTCTCCGGCCATGCTGAGGCCACGTCCCACATACAGCAACTAGAAGGATGTGCAACTATGACATACAACTATCTACTGGGGCTTTGGGGAAAAAACAAAGGAAAAGAAGGAAAAAAAAAAAGAAATGCAAATTCCCATTTGTGTCCCTACTTGAGATTTAAAAAAACTGAGGGCCAGCCCTGGTGGCCTAGTGGTTAAATTCAGCATGCTCCGCTTTGGCGGCCCGGGGTTCGGTTCCCAGGTGCAGACCCTACACCATTCGTCTATCAGTGGCCATGCTGTGGCAGCAGCTCATATACAAAATAGAGGAAGATTGGCAAGATGTTAGCACAGGGAGAATCTTCCTCAGCAAAAAGAGGAAGATTGGCAACAGATGTTAGCTCAGGGGGAATCTTCCTCAGCAAAAATAAATAAATAAATAAAAACAAATAAATTAAAAAATTGAAATTAAAGATTAAAAGTATAATAAATAAAGTTGATAAGAGATAATTAGTCATTAGCTTTAAAAAAGTTCAGATCCCCAAAGGCGGTACGCAGCAAATTGGGCTTTGCATCGGTATTCCAAGAAGGCAAGGAGCACATAACCATGAGCTCACTCATCAGAGTTGCTGAAATCACCCCAGCAGCAGTGGCCTCAGTACCCAGTTTCAGGTAAAACGGAACAGTAGGAAGAAACAAGATTCCCAGCAGAAGATATCTCTATGATAAAGAAGTGCCCAATATGATGACTACCATTCATTCCTGGGTCACTGTCAGTGGCATATTACAAGCTGGATTTTACTAAATTAATAGTAGTGCTATATCTTCCCACTCTACCTCAAAGCTAACTCCAAACAGTGGGGACTTGGCAGACATCAGGGAATTCTTAAGAAATGTGAGCCCTACTGGCTTTCATTATTTAAAGCGTAATTGCCTTAGGCTTTACCACCCAGGGTTAAGCTTTTTACTAATATCCCTTTAGATCACAAACACACAGTGGATCAGGCTCTAGAGATAATCAGCATACCACAGGTGAATTCAGGAATCTTGCTAGTTAATACTACCTGAGGCTCCCACCCCTGTCACCCTTGGGCTTTATTCCCAAGACAACCATTCTGGCCAACTATCCTCTCTCCTACATTCATGCCTACAGTGTTTTCTAGGCTTTCTCACCCACTCTATGCATTCCCCCACTGCTGCCTTTCCTTCTAACCTTTTCCACAGAGGCCTCTGGAAACCCCTTTTACACAGCCAAACAAATCACCTCTGCATCCTCAACCTCATCACTGAACATTCCTTTCAACCACTGGGCCAAATCTCGCTCTTGAAAAGAACCCTGTAGAGTGAAGGCTAAGGCAGTAGGAGTCAACCCTCTCCACACTGACATTTCCAGACCCAAACTCACAAGCAATCCCCTTCCTTCCCTCAGGCTCATGCCATATGGGTGGACTACCCTCTTCTCTTTCTTATTCAATATCCTACTCTATTTTTTCTAACTTGGGTCCAGACTCAATCCCTTAGATGCACTCTACCTACCCTTTCATCTCTTTAGTTTCTGTGTTATCACCAGTCTCAAAATCTTGGTTGTCACCCAAGCTATCAGTCCACCTAGTATGTTACTTTCTTCCTTCCATTTCACCACCCTCAAATTCCTAATCCTGGGTCAATCCAATCATGTGCTAGAGAAAAATCACACAACCATATGCACTGATTCTGCTATAATACTAACGTCTTCAAACTCAGGTAGACACTGAATGCTATCCAGTAACCCTTTTACATGTTGTTAATCAGATCCTTCCCCCAAAACTCACACTGCCTTTGTTTCCAAACTTTTGCCACTCTCCCTCTTCCAGCCCTATGGGGAATGAGATGGGAGAAGGGTTTCTTCATGTTTTCCTTAACCATTTGTATAGGTTGTTTATATTGTGAAAATACTATTTCTTCCACTTACTTTTAACATTTTCTCAGTCTATTGCTGGCTTTTAATACTGAAGTTTTTATTTTTAGGTGGCCAGATTTTTCCATCATTGCCTTTTTCATTTCTTTTATTATTTCTCTGCTTAGAAATTTCTCCCCCCTTCAGTAATAGCAGGTACATACTCTGATTTTAACCTTTCTGTGGAGAAATTGTTTGAGTACTTCATTCCAAATGATATATGAATGAGATTTGACTCTAAACTGAACTGTATTCCGAATTGCCAGTTTTCCTAGCAACATTAATTCCATCGTTCCTCAGTTTAAAAAGTTTCTTCTTAATATATTCACTTGTTTGCCTACAATAAGGTTGATTTCTGGGCTATAATCTCTTTAAGTAATATAATTATTGTTTCTTTATATGTTTTAATTTGTGATAAAAATATCCTTTGGTATTCTCATCTCCTTATTCTTCCTGACAATAGTTAGATACATTTTATCAGTTTCTAAGGATATGCCTCGGGATTTCATTCCTAAGAAACGGTTGCCCAGTCCACTCTTTGAGTGCTGCATATTTCTATCATAGTTGTTGCCCACACACAATGCTACTTTCTGCTTTGAATGATCACCCATACTATTACTGGATCTAGAACCAAAACCTTTCTAATCGTGCTAGAAAGCCACTCTTTTTACATATTTATTCATCTGGAGCCAGATTCATAAAACCTTGCTCTTTGCAACTTTCCATGCTTTGTATTTACTTTTTCATTGGTAAAATCTGGTTTACAACCCACACATCTATGGACAGCTAATCTTTGACAAAGGAGCCAAGAACATACAATGGGGAAAAGAAAGTCTCTTCAACAAATGGTGTTGGGAAAACTGGATAGCCATATGCAAAAAAATGAAAGTAGACCCTTACCTTACACCATACACAAAAATTAACTCCAAATGGATTAAAGACTTGAATGTAAGACCTGAAACTGTGAAACTTCTAGAAGAAAACATAGGCAGTACGCTCTTCGACATCAGTCTTAGCAACGTCTTCTCAAACACCACGTCTGACCGGGCAAGAGAAACAATAGAAAAAATAAACAAATGGGACTACATCAAACTAAAAAGCTTCTGCACAGCAAAGGAAACCATCAACAAAACGAAAAGACAACCTAACAATTGGGAGAAGATATTTGCAAACCATACTTCTGATAAGGGCTTAATCTCCAAAATATATAAAGAACTCATGCATCTTACCAACAAAAAAACTACCAACCCAATTAAAAAATGGGCAAAGGACCTGAACAGACATTTCTCCAAAGAAGATATACAGACGGCCAACAGACACATGAAAAGATGTTCAAAATCATTAACTATCAGGGAAATGCAAATCAAAACTACAATGAGGTATCACCTGACGCCCGTCAGAATGGCTATAATTAACAAGACAGGAAACAACATGTGTTGGAGAGGATGTGGAGAGAAGGGAACTCTCATACACTGCTGGTGGGAGTGCAAACTGGTGCAGCCACTATGGAAAACAGTATGGAGATTCCTCAAAAAATCAAGGATAGAACTACCATATGATCCAGCCATCCCACTGCTGGGTATTTATCCAAAGAACTTGAAAACACCAATTTGTAAAGGTACATGCACCCATGTGTTCATTGCAGCGTTATTCACAATAGCCAAGACTTGGAAGCAACCTAGGTGCCCATCAAGGGACGAATGGATAAAGAAGCTGTGGTATATATACACAATGGAATACTACTCAGCCATAAGAAACGATGAAATCCAGCCATTTGTGACATCATGGATGGACATTGAGGGTATAATGCAAAGTGAAATAAGTCAGAGGGAGAAGGTCAAATACCGCATGATTTCCTTCATTAAGTAGTAGATAATAACAACAATAAACAAACACATAGGGACTTAGATTGGATTGGTGGTTACCAGTGGAGAAGGGGGGAGGGAGGAGGGTGAAAGGGATAATTCGGTACATGTGTGTGGTGATGGGTTGTAATTAGTATTTTGGTGGTGAACATGATGTAATCCATGCAGAAATAGAAGTACAATGATGTACAGCTGAAATTTTTACAATATTATAAACCAATGTTACTGCAATAAACAAAAAATTTAAAAAAAAATAATAAAAAAAAATTATAAAATAAATACAACCTGTTTGTCCATCAGTAAAACTGATGAAAAAATTATAGTTCATCCAAATAACGGAATAGCAATACATATAATAATAAAACAGATGTTAAAAGGAAAAAAAAAATCTGGTTTACATAAAATAAAGTTATCTCACACACAATTTTTATTTCATACGCCAACATTTTTTTATCAGCTCTGCAGTATTTTTCAGATCTTCCTGTTATCTTTTAAGATCCACACAGTTATATTTACTTTTTAATTAATTTTTTTGAATACATACTACATTCACATGAATCAAGAAATCAAAATGATGTAAAAAAGAACATACGTTTGAGAGGTTTCACTCCTATATCATCCACGTGCAGCTCACGTTGCGCTTGCTTATATAGGTCATTACTTTTATTATCTTGTACATCCTTTCAGCGACTCTTTATGCAAATATGCCTAACTGCAAATATTGTCTTAGTCCTCCTGCCTTTTTACACAAAATGTTCAGTTTCCCAGCTTACTTTTTTTTTATTTGGTATAGCCTGCAGATTTTCCATGTTAGGATATGTTTCTTCACTGTCTTTTAAAGCTTCACGATATTTCATTGTGTGAATACATAATAGTTTGTGTAAGCAAGCCCCTATTTTTAAGAAATTAGATTCTACAAATTTAAGTCTTATTTCTGAAAATAATTTATTTCAAGAGCAATAACTGTACAAACCAAAAAGTACATGAACCTATGTGGGGTGATTTCACA